ACCGACCGCTTCGCAGCCCACCAAGTATATCGCTCCCCTTATACAAACTACCCCAAAAACGCGAGGGTAATATAGGAAAGTACGCTGATACCAAGTGTTAGATGTTGTATATAATAAAGAGTGCACATGAATGCATAGCGCGGAAGTGATCAGAACTACTGAGCGAATAATGAAGCCTAGCACAGATATTGCGAAGGCTAGCTAGGCAGAGGCCGCGGGACCGCGAATGGTTGGGAGCAGGTTCGGGGTTGGGAAACCCGAAGGCGACGCGATGGATGTCCGGAGGGCGAGGTCATCGGAGCGAGCATGGAACTCCAAAAGATGGAGTTGTACGCGCGTGGAATGCCTGAGTAACGGCGTGTTGCAATTCCCGGTGCACTGCATCGGCTCGGCTCGGGGCACGGGTTTTGGAAGGCTCCAGGCAAGCGGGAGGCCGAGTCAACGCGGTGCACTGACTTGGCACGGCATGCCCCGAGCCGAGTCAGTGCACTGCGTCGCCTTGGCTCGAGCCAGCACGACCTGGCACCCGCCACTCTGCCCTCGCCAATCTGGCGATCTCCTGACTCGTGTCAGGAAATCGCTTCACATCTACCTAGAAAGTTCGATGTTCCCGAGGCGCGAGGCTGGCACGACCTGGCTCGTGCCAACTCGAGCCGAGCCGATGCAGTGCACCGGGAATTGCAACACGTCCTAAGGAATTAGGGGAAAATAATTACAGACTCACTGCAAACCTGAATCACTGTGTTACGGTTCTCCGTCCCGCAAGATTCGTTCGCTGACGTTCTTCTCACGATGCCAGCAACCTGACCTTCAATGTCAGACATTATGCACCTCGCACATTGTCGCACGATCAAGCATTGGTTCCCTGGCCACGGTCAACGAGCCACAGTTGACGTTTGAGGTACAGTTCGCCTTGTACTCTGCCCAGTTTGTGTCGGCTCGCTGGCAATTGATGGCGCAATAACGTTCCCGCTAGGCACACGCTCCCACGTTCTGAACTGTTCCAAGGGCAAACCTCCAACGGCCCCTGCCCATAAAGTTTGATAACCATCGCAGGCGTCGCCAAACACAATCGCACACATCCACCCCCACTGACGGCTGGCGGGAATATGTCTTTCAAAACTACGCGCTGCGCGTCTCAGCCCAAAGCTCTGGCGCGGTTCGGCAACGCGGCCCACCAAATGGGAACACTCACCTTCATGATTTTTTTCATGTGGCCCGGGACTGAAAACGGACAGGTGACCGCCGCGAAAAAAACATGAAGTCGCCTCGGCACGCGTCGGTTGCGCTTGGCACCTCCAACATCCAGTCGCGTGTTGGAGTGCGATCATCCAACGGCTTGTGGAGTTTGGCGCCAGCAAACTCTGACTTGATCACTTATAGCTGATCATTATTTTTTTCATGCACGGCAAGTAGATCAGCAGAAGAAGGTCGATCCCTGAATCAGGTTGCCCTTCATTTCAATACCACCACCCCGTCAATTTTCCTCGTCCTAATCTCATTGCTTCCAGTAGACGCTTGTTCCAACTGACCCCAGACCTGTAGGTTTGTAAGGGTCTCAGGCTAGTAAATAGCAGCCATGGCTGCGGCGTGCGTGCTCCTAGCCCTCGTGGTGTCTCTGACGGTTGTCTCAGCACAGGCGCCAACCACGTCAACCGCGCCAACCGTGGTCGTGCCTCAGACGGCAGAGGGAATGAGTACGCTCACATTTCAGCCCTAACTACTCATGATTCACTCTCGGAATTCATCCCGGCTGATCTCGCTTCTGTTGCTCGAACACCCAACCATCCTCTGCTTACCAAACCCACCATCAATTTCCCTCGTCGTAAACTCACAATCACAAATAAGGTCGTCGACACCCAGTGCCTCAACACCTTGCCTCCATTTCCCTCTTACCGTCCGTGCCCTTCCTTCATCCCGTTCCCCCCCAACAGGCAAGGTTCTTTTCCCGAACTTCAAGGACATAACCATGGTGACTCTCTTCGGCAGCGCGCAGCAGAACAAGGAGGCCGGCACCATCCGTCTGACCAGCCAGCCGCATTCCGCGGGCGGCGTTATCCTTCGCACGCCGCTCCTCCTCCTCGACAAGAAATTCGGCAATTCGACGGCTTGCAAGCCGCTATCCTGGCGGTCCGTCTTTCAGTTCAAGTCGTCCGGCAACGCTGACGGCTTGGCGTTTGTTATCTGGTCCAAGCTGCGGAACCTAGGCTCGCCGGACGGCTACCTCGGGTACGGCGGGCCAGCGGTTCGTTATAAGAAGTCTCGCAGCATGGCTGTTGAGCTGGACATGGCGAAGAACACGTGGGATCCTAGCGCGACGCACGTGGGCATCAACACCCGCGGCAGCATGAAATCCCTCGCGTGGAGGGTGCTTCGCGCGCCGTTGAACGATTCCATTCCCCGTCGCGCGTGGATCGAGTACGACGGGCAGTCTCTCAGCGTTTCTGTGGGCAAGGGCGCGAAGAAGCCCACGGCGCCGCTGCTGCGATACGCGATTAACACGTGCACCGCGCTGAAGCAGCCCGGGTACTACGTCGGCATCACCGCGTCGAGTGCGGACGGCGCGTCCACGCATGAAATTACGACCTGGAGTTTCTCTGCCGCCCGTAAGTTTCGGTTTCAGGAAAGAACAACAATCATTGCTCATCAGGAGTAGCATGTGCGTGGAAGTTAGCGATCGGTACTTGTCAACCCGTTCCGTTCGCCGCGTGTTTACAACCTCTCTGCGCTAGCCGCGCCTTCGTTTCCGCAGCCTGATTTTTTTCCCCGTTTCCCTTGACCCCCTCTCCCCCCCGCCCCTTAGCCTCGGCGTCGCTCTGCCCCATGTGCGGGAGCGTGATGAACCCCAAGAATAAGGTCAGCTGCTGCATGCCGTTCCAGTGCTGCAACGGCGTGTGCCTCGCGCCCACCGAGCTTTGCGCTGGCACCACCTGCTGCGGATCGGTAAGCCAACCAGCCTGAACTAACCCCGCGCGCCTTCGCGCCCTCCGCTGAAAAACCCCCGATGCTGTATATCTGTGCGTCGTTATTTTGGTTTGCCGTGTGAGTTTCCTGTTCGTCCCAATGGCTTGTTGTTTCCGTTCTTTTTCCGTGCTTTCTCTTTTGTTAATTTGCAGCCTGATAGCGGCCGCGTGTGCTGGGGCGTCAAGTGCTGCAGTGTAACTAGCCTGTGTATGACGAAGCAGAAGCGGCCCGTTTGCTGCCCGCAAATCGGAAACAGCACGTGCTGCATGTAAGGAGGATGTTCTGTGTTAGCGGCGAGGTTGCACAGCACCCATACACTCTCACTGGACTTCTAGACAGATTAAGCATAATGTCTAAGAAATGGACAGCAGAATAGAGATACAGCAGCAGCAGCAGCAGCAGCTGTCATAGCAGCAGAATCAGGGCTGCTGTCCCAGCAAGCCTAAACATAATACACACAGTATAGTTAATTCTTGACAGCTAGCTTACACGCGGCAGAGGCTTGCATGCTTATGCCACAGACCTCCAGGACATAGGTAGTTTGATCTGTGTCTTCCACCTTTTGTCCAAATAAAGACACGTATACTCACAGTGATCATTCATTTTCCAAGCCTGTGCCTGATAATATGTATAACAGACGGTCCCGCTAGGCCTTGTGGCAGTGCCCCTCTTGGGAAAGCCAATGCATGTAGTGCTGTAGTTGCATTGCCACATGATCCATGCATTATGGCATGGCCCACTCGTGGAACTTCACCCATAGCACAGCTCCACCTGCCCTCCATCCTTACAGCATTGAGATACCGTATGATTTTGTTATACCGTATCCTCAGTCCTGTTGCATAATTAAACAACCCCCCCTACCGTAATTTCTTGACAGCATGGAAAATCCTAGAACGTTACAATTATTTGGACAAATCTTCCTCCCCTCCCCCCCCCACGAACTTGGAGACTGGGTTTACGGCTTAGGATTGCGCACACAATGTTATTCCTCAGGCCCATAAGGCCCACACTGAGCATTTCTACGGTGTTATTCCGGTTTAATGAAAGAACGCTCTTTGAAACATCCCTTAAAAGCCTACGGTAGTCCTCATCCTACCCTGCCCCCAGTTCTCCACTTCCTCCCCCTCATAGAATTTGGCAGCTGCTATTATCGCTGAGAACTCGCATTCGTGCAGGGCTTCTTTTTGGATTTTCACTACTCGGATTTTCAGAGTTGTTTTTTTGGGAACTCTGAAATTCAGGGTTCATTATGAGCGTTACTCTGATTTGTCAGAGAAAAACTTAACTTCTGAAAAAAAAACTCTGGACAGTCAGTGTACCTACTTTTCCAACTCTGAGTGTCCCTTTGAAGTATTGAACCCAGGCCTTTTGCGCCCCTACAAAAACAGGTACCGTTGTGCTACGCGCTCACGACCAGTTTCGAAGATGCATCATTTTTCCAGTCAGACATCTGTCGAAATGCCTATACCCTGTACAGAGAAAAATACATTCGTCAGAAATTTACACTGGTCTATCAGAGTAGCTAAAATCAAAACCCTGGCAAATCAGAGAAAACTTATTCTCCAAAAACATTACCCAGAAACGTCAGAGTGACCCCCCAAAAACCACTCTGATTTTCAGAGAAACAGAGTAATTTACTCTGATAAAAAAACCCTTGCATTCGTGGCTCTTTGAAGGTCAACACATTCTGAAAAAAGGTCAGTGACAGTGTCATCAGACCTGGGTGCTGGAAATTTTGTTACCATGCTACAAGACCCACCCCTTTTGTTTTAATGAGAATATCATAAGACCTGTAAGTAAGGTAGATTTGTGGCAAACGGATTAGAATTATATAGAACTTAGAAAAATGGATTAGAAAGGGGGGTTACATTACAAAGCATGCCTGTACAAGCACACCTTTGGCAGCACCTGAGCACTTGAAACATGATTGAGTTGCATTTACAAAGTTAGCACTACCCAACAATATGGCATCAGAGATATTCCGAGTTCTTCCTTTGAACACAGCACAAAAAGCCTCTGGCCACTTGCACCGGCCTTTAAGAAGCTCCACCGGCAGGCACTGCTGCTGGGAAGAGAACACGGTGGGAGGGAGCTGAAGCTGCTGCTGCTGCTGATGCCGGTGCTGGTGCTGCTGCTGCTGCTGCTGCGGCTGCTGCTGCTGGTGGTGTTAATGCAGCTGCAGAGGACAGCATCACCACATCTTCATCCGCTTCCCTACCAAGTGTCCTGTCCCTTTCCTCCACCTCTCTCAATTCCTCTCCAGCAGCAGCAGCACCAGCAGCAGCAGGTGATGCAAAGAGCACAGCAGTGACTCTCTGAATCTCTTCCATGCACATGGCTGGGTCGAGCAACCGGGAGGAAGGGCCGGGGCGTGGAGCGAGAAGAGGTGGCTCGGGCAAAGCGTGCAACTGATGCTCCTCCTCCTGTAGCTTCTGTCGTTCCTCCTCGTCCTCTTCCTCCTGCTCCTGCTCCTGCTGCTGCTGCTGCTGCTGCTGCTGCTGCTGCTGCTGCTGCTGCTGCTGCTGCTGCTGCTGCTGCTGCTGCTGCTGCTGCTGCTGCTGCTGCTGCTGCTGCTGCTGCTGCTGCTGCTGCTGCTGCTGCTGCTGCTGCTGCTGCTGCTGCTGCTGCTGCTGCTGCTGCTGCTGCTGCTGCTGCTGCTGCTGCTGCTGCTGCTGCTGCTGCTGCTGCTGCTGCTGCTGCTGCTGCTGCTGCTGCTGCTGCTCTGACATCTGCTTTAAATCACAACAGGCTGCTTGCTCTTGCTGCTCACAGAGCACATTGACAGAAGCGTACTGATCCCCTACCCCCATCCCAATCTCCATTCCTTCCTGATGATCCTGCTCCAAACTCCTCCCCTCCCCCCACTGAGACCGCCAGCCGTCACACTTCCTTTAGCCACTGCAATTCCTTCAACCAGCACTTCTCCCGGTTCAATGTCATCTAGGGTTACCACTTCTCCGCTATGATTTCCACCTTCCCTGTTAATCCCGTCTCCCCGGCTGATCCCTTCTCCCCTGTTAATACCTTGTCCCCTGTTAATCCCCTCTCCCCTGTTAATCCCCTCTCCCCTGTTAATCCCCTCTCCCCTGTTAATCCCCTCTCCCCTCTTAATCCCATCTCCCCTGTTAATCCCCTCTCCCCTCTTAATCCCCTCTCCCCTGTTAATCCCCTCTCCCCTCTTAATCCCCCCAGTCAGCCTCCTCTCACCATCCCTTTTACACAGGTACTGTCGTTGTCGCCGAAAACACGGCTACCGCTGTTGCCACCGCTGTTGCCACCGCCGTTGCTACCGCTGTTGCCACCGCTGTCGCTGCTGCTGCTGTTGCTGCTGCTGGGACCGTTGCTACTGGTGGTACTAACGCCAGTGCTGCTGCTGCTGCCGCTGCTGTTCCAACTGCCAATGCTCTTGTCGAACCCTGAAGGGAACCCCACGTATGGGTTATTACGGGATGCGTGTGGTGTGGTGAGCGAATCAGCACCTAGTTTGGCGTGTGGCATCATGGCCTGTGTGCATGCATGTGTAGGCACGTTCGACGCAAGAATGTGTGAGTCAGATTGAGGAGGTTTTGCAGCAGCGGCAGCAGAAGTAGAGGCAGCAGCAGAAGCGGCAACGGTAGGAAAAGGAAGGGAAGGAGGAGGAGGAGGAGGAGGAGGAGGAGGAGGAGGAGAAGAAGCAGCGGCAGCCGTGGCAGCAGGAGGCACGTGAATGGGGTTGCTTGTCGGTCGTGCAAGGTTGAAGCTGCGAGGACTCTCCCGACCTTCCACCACCCTGCATGTACCATCACCCAACAGCACAAGAGAGAGAGAGAAGATTGCGGATTGAAACATTATAAAACTCTCCCAACCTTTCACCACCACTCTGCATGAACCAGAGTCAGCAGCAAGCAAGAGACAATCAGAAAGGGTGAGACGATTACTGATTGCAAGTGACACATACCACCACCCTCCCAACCCAGGTGCGAGCAAAAAGCGGCAGCAACCCTCCCTCCCTCCCCTCGTTACCCTCCCTCATCTCTTTCCCTCATCTCTCCTCTTCACCCCGCCCCTCACCTCAACCCCCCCCATCCCTCCCCCCCTCCCCCCTCACCTCAGCGACCTCGCTCTCCCCAGTGTGCAGTGCCTTCCCCCCCCTCACCTTCACCAGCACAGCCCCCGGGAATGGTGCCCCCTGCCGCCCCTCCCCACTCTCACCTCACCTCATGCCGCCCCCCTCTCCCCTCCCCTCATTGCAACCACTCCCCTCACCTCAGCGCCCTTGCTCCCCCCAGTGCGCGGTGCCTCCCCCCGCCCCCCCTTCGCCAGCGCAGCCCCCGGGAGTGGTGCCCCCTGCTGCCGCCCCTCCTGTCCACGTCCGGAGTGGTGAAATCAAAGTGGATGGCACGCGCTGTCAGCACCTGGGGGACGAGTTGGGGGAGTAGGGGGGAAGGGGAGTGGGGAAAGGGGGGAGCAGGGAGCAGGGGGAGAGGGGGGAGAGTGGGGATGAGGAGGAGGAGGAGGGAGAGTGGGGGGGGGGGGGAAATGGGGAGCGAGGAAGGGGGAAAAGGGAAGGAATGCGGGGATGGAAGAGGGGAGAGTGGAAGAGAGGTGGGTTGAGGGGTGGGGCGGGCAAGGCTAGGGAGCGGGCAAGGCTAGGGAGCGGGCAAGGCTAGGGAGCGGGCAAGGCTAGGGAGCGGGCAAGGCTAGGGAGCGGGCAAGACTAGGGAGCGGGCAAGACTAGGGAGCGGGCAAGACTAGAGGGCGGGCAAGACTAGAGAGCGTATTGTAAGTGCACTACTGAGAGGTGTAACACAACGTAACAACGCAATGAAGAAGCACACAGAAACAATCGAACGCAGATTGCTAAGCAAGCAGTCGTGGTGGCCTTACCGCATCGCTGACGGCTTTGGAGGTGAGGAGGAGGGAGGAGAGCTCATGGTGCCGGAGACAGCAGACGATCCGCACCTGAGACGGAGAGAAGGGGATAAGACACGGTGGAAAGTGGGCGGAGGGAGACTTTTTTGAGACATCTCAAAAAAGAGAGGAGAGCTCGTGGTGCCGCAGACAGCAGACGATCTGCACCTGAGACGGAGACAAGGGGGGATGGGGGGCGGAGGGAGGGCGTGTGGGGGGAAAGGGAGGGCGGAGTTTTTGAGACGTCTCAAAACAAGAGGTGGGGAAGAGAGAGGAGAGATCGTGGTGGTGGAGACAGAAGACGGTGCGCACCCGAGACAGAGAGAAAAGGGGGGAGAGACAGCAGAGAGAAGGCGGAGGGAGGGCGAGGGGAGCGTGGCGGGCGGAGGGTGGACGGTGGGCGGAGAGAGGGAGGGTGGAGGGAGGGCGGAGGGAGGGCGGAGAGAGGGCGGAGGGAGGGAGGGGAAAGGGAGGGTGGAGGGAGGAAGGACGAAATAAATTATTATCGTTTCAGTTCATGCAAATGACTCACAAACCACATTCACCCCTCCGCTCCATTGTCTCTCCTTCCCTTGTATTCGTTCCCTTAACAAGCATGCACCATGCCCCCCTGCCGCCTGCCCAACCGCCCCCTTGGCCCAACGCCCCATTCCCCCATGCCCCCATGTCCCCATGCCCCCATGCCCCCATGCCCCCATGTGTTAACTGGAAAAGCACCAAGCACTTACCACGACCTCCTGGGGCAAGTCTAGCAGACCCAGCCCTTCCGCCCTCTCCCCCGTTCCCCCCACACTCAAGCTCCGCATTTCCGCCTCTGCTGCTTCCCTCTCCCCCTCCCAGTCCGCCTCCGCCTTCCCGCATCCGCTCTCCTTCCCCCGTGTTCCCCCAAACCGCGCGCCCTGCCCTTGCTCCTGCGCCTGCGCCTGCACAGCGCCTGTTCTCCGCCCAAATAGGCTCCGCGGATTGCGCTGAAAGCGCAGGCGCGGAACGGCAGGGGGAGTGCGCGGTTCCGGGGAGGAAAAAGGCCCCGCAGACAGAGGGGGCAACCCTGCGGTTACCCGCGGAAGGCTCGCGGGAAGGGGGGGAAGACTCGCGGGGAGGGGCGGAATGGCGGAGGGCGCGCGGGGAGCGGAGTGAGCGTGGGGCATGGCGGGCGACGGGAGGAGTGCAGGGGAAGGGGAGAGGGTTAACGACGGGGAGGGCGGGGCAACAGGAGACCTGAAACAGGGCGAGGCTGTGGCATAATTCGCTGGAAACATCGGGCTGTTGAAACGGTTTTCGGTAGAGGCAGTTATCAGATTGCCAGCAGCGTTGCCTATAGGACTAGGCGGGCCGCTCATTTCCCCGTCGAAGCCCGCTTCTCCGGCCATTTCTCCGCCAGCTTTCGCCTCGACGCGTGATCCCTCCTGCTGCTGCCACTGCTCCGATTGTGGCTCTTCCATCTGCGTCCTCCTGCTGCTGTCCTCGGCTAGCATATCCTTCCGCTGCGCCTCTTCCGTCGACTGCGTGTCGCCCCACCGTATGGCACCCACTTGCCTTGCTGTATCTGCTCTTTCCGCTTCCTCGTTCCAGACCCCAAGAGCGCCACTCTCCTCCCTCTCCTCTCTCGCCCCCCTCTCCTCTCTCTCCCCCGTCGCCTCTCTTCCCCCCCTCTCCTCCACCTGCTCGTCTGTCGCGTCGCTCACAATGACCTGCGCAGCCGTAGTCGCTGGCGTCGCCGGTGTCGCATGCGTCGCCCGCGCCGTCGTCTGAGTCGTTGCGCAGAATCGCAAGCATGGGGGAGCGGCGTAGAGCTTACGTCGGTGCCTGTTGACGGGGCAGGACGCGAACGGCCCGCGGAACTCCGCGGGAGGGGCGCGCAGCAACGACAAATCCACCGCAGTCGGTGCTGCCCGTGAGGGTGCTTCTGCTGCTGCTGCTGGAACGATTGCTGCAGTTCCCGCTGCTGTTGCTGCAGAATCAACCTCCGCAACAGCCTCAATTACAACAGGAACATTCGTTACAACGACAGAATCCGCTAAAACAGACGCTAAACCGGTAGTGCTCGCGCGCGGAGCAGGCCAGGCTGATTGCGGAACGTGCCAGTCCGAGAGCGGAACACCCGCGCTTGTTCCCCGTGACCTCAGGTTCCCCGCCAACCGGGGAATAGGGGCGGAAAGCGCAAGCGAGAGCGGAGCTAGGGGGCCCCCGGAGGGCGCCCCTCTCCGCGGAGCTGGGAATGGGGGGAGGTTTGGGGAGAGGGGAGAGAGCGTGTGCGCGGAGCTGTAGCGGGCGCGCTTCGTTGCAAGGGTTCTACTCTCAAGCTTGTGCTTGATTGCGCCCGGGCGCACGAATCGTGGGGCGGCCGGGGCCGGCCGGCAGCTTGTGTTGCCGTTGCACGCCGCGCGGTGGTGGTGCGGCCGCCGCCGCCGCCGCTCCTCCTGCTGCTGCTGCCGCTGCTGCTGCCGCCCTTCCTCCTCCACCACCATATGCTCCTGCCGCCTTTGCAGCTCTACTTGTGCCAGCAGCGAATCGTCGCCACCTCTCTCCACGTCCATTCCTAGATCCCGCGACCATGGCTGCTCACGCTGTCGGTCAGGCGCACTTGCACGCGCAGTAGATACCCTTCCTACTGCTGCAGCTTCTTCTTGCTGCCGCGTGTCGGCTCCACGCAACGACTTCTCTTCCCCCTCCTTTCCCCCGTTTCCTTTCTTTTCCGCATTCTCCTCCTGCTCCTTCGCTTCCGCAACGGGATCCGTTCCTTCGTTAGATGGCGTAAACACCGTTTCGTTGGCGCCCGAGGCTTGGGGACTACACGCGGTCGCAATGTGCTCTTGTCGGGAAACGGATGTGGCTGCTGGGGGAAAACGTAAGTGGTCCGCTGCAGCTGCTGCTGCTGCTGCTGCTGCTGCTGCGGCTGATTGTTCTGATGGTGCTGCGGGTGCTGTTGAGGCGATCGATGGCAATGGCGATGAGAACGGTTCTTGCCGCGATGGACCAGAAATCAAAAGTGCCGTGCCGCAATTATTACCCGCGTGCGCGTTCGGCACAGTGAACGGACCGTCCAGATTGTCCATGCTCGACAGGACTGACGAAACAGATACAAAATCGACGGCGTGAAGTGGATCCTCGGGTATCGGAAAAGACAGACCGTGTCGTTCCTAGGAAGAGTTCTGAGATGCCTCAAAACTCGTGCGGCGTCACAGTGCACGCATCGCGATGCGCCGCGGGGAGGAGAGGGATAGTCTCACATTCCTGAAACTCTGAATGCTTTTAACAAAACGAGTGTAAACTGCAAGGCGAAACGAGAGAAGTCATTACTCATGTGCTCACACGGATCTCCTAACCCCGAGCTTGCTTGTGTGAGGCTGACGCTTCTGTCTGGGATTATTGGGGTTTGCTTGAAGCTTGCTTTCATCAGCAAAGCAGGGCTGCGGGAAAGCGAGCAGTAGAGCAGAGAATTGCAAATCAGAGTTTTGTTGTGGGTTTCAGGGGGAAGGTCAGGCGCACGTAAAGCGGCACCTCCCCGCCTCGCGGTGTTGTGGTTGCGGGCTGGGACATGTGCGCTTGCTGTGTGGTGGTGCGCGAACGGAGGTGGTGTGGGCGGGCGCACGTAAAGCGGCACCTCCCCGCCTCGCGGTGTTGTGTGGTTGCGGACTCGGGAGTCAGGTCGGTCGGGACGGGACAGGAATCGACGCATCCGCTGTGGTGATGTGCGTGAATGGGGAAGGTGGAGCTTGATGGTGGCGCGGAGCGGAACGGTGAGTCTTGCTGGTTGGGGGAACTTGCCTGCGTGGACTCACGTCAGCGACGCTTAGGAGTGGGAGGCGATGGCGGTGGGCGGTTAGCGGGACAGACAGAAGAATATGCTCGTTTGAACTTTGCATTTGAATGGTCAAATTTCTTGGAGCCAGGTTTCTGTCGCATAGCTCGATATAAGGTCGCACGGCCTCGCTATGCGCATAGGAGCACACTGAAGAAGAGCAGAGATATAGTTCTAGAAACTGCAGAAGATTATCAAAGTGGAAATCGGCGCACTGTGACGGTTTTCTTATATTACAATGATTTCCATAAACCATAAATGTTTAAAATCCCCACATTGGTCAATCCGCCCAAAACATAGCTAAAATAATTTCCACTTTACACTATGCATATGGTATAGATATCATGCACCATCAGTATATTAAAGAGCCAAAGTAATACTTGCTTTGGGCTGTACCGGGAATCGGTTACTGTACACACTGGAAATCTGTGTCTTGTTGGCCTTGGTTCTTTCGCAACAAGTCAAGCCAGTCATGCCCCTGCCTCCAAGAATCTCGCATCATCATCAACTGACAGATGTTTCCGTGAAAAGAACCCGACGGAAGGAACATGTTGCTGATTCGCTGAACGGTGATTCGGGCAGCACCCGGAGCAGCAAACCGTCCATTTTCTCTGCCCCCCCTTCCACTACCAAGGAATCAGCGCGCGCGCGGCAGGAAATGGCACCGCTTTGCGGTGCCCGCTTGGTCAGCGCGGATTATTGCGCCAACCTTCTGCTTCGTCTGCGCGCTGCCTGCACTCACTGCCCTCTACCTCTCACAAGCAATTGACCATGACATATTTGCTTGCCATCCTGAAGAGGTCATTACTGGTCCCAGTTCCCTATCACATAGTCAGAGCAAAATTACCTTGAATCCAGCTACTGCCACGGTTTTGAAAGCTCGTGATATTACAAGATCATCCCTCGTTTGCTGCCCTAGTTCCGTCCATTCCATCAAATTCTTGAATCCTGTCCTTCGCCGACGCAATCGAATGGCGCAGCTAACTCCACGACAAAAAGCCGCAGCCGGCGCGCTCTTCACATTCGCGCTCGCAGATTCCCTCAGCCAACGATCGCACGCTTTCGCACAGCCGTTCGCAGACCTTCCTCCGGCCGTCGCAGACGCAAGAAGCGGCGGTGGGAACGGGCAGCGCGCGAGCGTGTGGACGGAGGATCCGAGCGCGATACGGGTGTGCCAGCACGTGCTGAAGTGAGTTACTTAAACGCTCTTCCTAGGTGGGATCTATTTCATCTTAACCTGAAGCGTGGTTTTGTGATTTTATTTTCCTCAATGGCAGGTGCCTGAGTCTTTCCGAGGCCAACGCGCGCGCGTGCTGCCAAATGGCCAGCGCTGGGCCGTCCTTAAAGCCCCACGTTGAAAAGGTAGGCTCAGGGAACCACATAAAAAAGGTAGGCTCAAAGCCTCACATTAAGAGGGTACTAGGTCAAATCCCCCCCCGTTCCCCCTCCCCCCCCTCCCCCCTTCTCACCCTTTCTTCCCCCAGTTCCTGGGCGTGCTACTGCAGGAAAGCGCATCACTCCCCCCCGCGGAGAGGGAGAGGGTGGCGGCAGTGGCGGAGTGCGTTCGCGCACAGGCCTTGAAACTGCAGCAGCAGGCGCGGGGGAGGCGGGAGAGGGAGCGGAGGGAGGTGCGGAGGGCGTGGCAGGGGGAGAGGCAGCGCATGCATGAGGCTGCTGCTGCAGCGGCAGGGAGTGGGGGGTATGGGCGGGGTGGAGGGAGTGGTGGCGGGGGAACAGCGGGGGGAGCAGGCGCAGGGGGTGGTGGTGCAGGTGGTGTTGGTGCTGGTGGGGTGGAGAGCGATTTTCAGCGGTTCGGGTTAGAAAAAGCAGGAGCAGGGGCAGGGGCTGGGGCAGGTGCAGGGGCAGGGGCAGGGGCAGGGGCAGGTGGTAAGAAAGCTGATGATTGGACAATGGGATGGGGCCTGGATGACGGCTGGGATGAGAAGGAGAAGGTTTCAGGGGGGAGGAGTGCTGCGGGTACGGGAAAATTGGGAAGCACGGCTGTTGGTACTGCTGCTGCTGGTGGTGCGGGTGCTGGTGCTGGTGCTTGTGCTGCTGGTGATGCCGTTGGGGCTGGCGATACAGTTGGTTCAACGCAGCAATCGCTGGAGGAGAAGAGGAGAGAGGAGGAGGAGAGGGAGAGAGAATGGGAGGAGAGCGAGAGGGAGAGAGAGAGAGAGATGGAGATGGAAAGGGAGAAGGTGAGAGCAAGGGAGGCGGAAGAGCAGAGGGAAAGGGAGCTAGAACTGGAAATGGAGCAAGAGAGAGAGCGCTTGGCAAGAGAGAGAGAGACGCAGAAGGAGCATATGGGAAAGAGTAAGGCATGGGAGGGACAGGAGGATGAGGAGGACGAAGAGGAGGAGTATATGGTGAGAGGTGGCGGAAGGGGTGGTAAGGTAGCAGCATCTAACCATCCTCCCTTTGCCTCTGGAGGGTTTTTCAATGGGGACGAAGAGGAGGAGGACGAGGGGGAGGGGGAAGGATTTGGGGGAGCAGGGAGTGGGTTCGGAGGGGGGTTTGATGGAGGGGGGTTTGCAGGAGGAGGGGGGTTTGGTGATGGGGGTTTCTTTGGGGTTGATGAGGGAGAGGAGGAGGGGGAGGAGGAAGAGGGTGGGTGGGGGCAGAATGCGGGGTCTGGTGGTGGTGGTGACGGTGATGGTGGTGGCAATGAGAAGGCGAGGCTTGTTGTTGAGCAAGGGGAGCAAGGGGAAGGAAGCAGTGGTGATGGTGATGATGTGAAGATCGACGACGAGGATGGTAGGCCTGCTGCTGCTGCTGCAGCTGCTGCCACCGCTGCTGCCGCCACTGCCTCTGCCACTGCTGAGAATTCTGCTTCTGCTGCTGCTGCTTCTGATGCGCCTTTTGAGACGTCTCAACAGTCTTGTGATGCGTCTAAGATGGAAGAAGCAAAGAAGCAAGTTGAAGTCTTGGTGCCCAAGGAAGCTGAAGCTGCTGCTTCACCAAGTGTCCAGGAAAAAGAAGAAAAGGGACAAGAGGCCAAGGCAGGCGAATCTGCAGTGGCAGAACTACCTGTATCATTCGGACCAGGGCAAGCAGCCGCACCAGCAGCACCACCAGCAGAACCACCAGCCGCCTTACCAGCAGCACCACCAGCACCAGCAGCACCAGCAGCACCAGCAGCAGCGGCACCACAAACCCCTCCGCCACAGCCCACTGCCCCTCAAAACCTCTCAGTTCAACCAACCCCACCTCCAGCAAGAGTAACCCGTGAGCCGGTGCCGTTTGCTGCGGCAGTGGCGGGTATTCCCGAGGACGAGCGCATTGCCGTGCTGTGGGAGCTGCTGGCTGCATTCATGTCGGATGAACGCACTTCTGGTGGCGGTGGTGGTGCGGGTGCTGGTGCTGGTGCTGCTGGTTCTGGAACAGGGGATGCTGCAGGGCAGAGTGTGCAGGCAGGGGGGTATGATTCCCGCGAGCGCACAGCACTCCGGCTCCTGGCCCTGTGGTTGCAGCTCGATTGGTCCCTCGTGGTACGTCCCGTGCCGTGTTTTGAGACGTTTTTGAAGTAATAACATCGCATGAAACTCTGCGTAGTCCTCTTGCTGCTGCAGCAGCAGCAGCGGCGGTGGCGGCGGCGGCAGCAGCAGCAGCAGCAGCAGCAGCAGCAGCGGCAGCAGCAGCAGCGGCAGCAGCAGCAGCGGCAGCAGCAGCAGCAGCAGCAGCATAAGATATGCGAGTGCGGATCGATCAGGCAGCAGTAGAGTGGCAGCCTCTTTCCACAGTCGCTGTTTGCTTCTCCTTTCCTATCCTGCTTTGTTAACCGCTCACAAGCCCACCCCCCACCAGGCTGCAATGGTGCGCATGCTAGCAACAGCATCGTACAATGCACAGGTGCAGATCGACCAAGCAGCAGGCCGAAACCACTCTCTCTGCTTGCTTCCCTTGCTCCTTGCCCCCACCTCACCCACACACCCACCAGGCTGCAATGGTGCGCATGCTAGCAACAGCAGCATTCAACGCACAGGTGCAGATCGACCATGCAGCAGCCCTGTCCATGCCACTCTCCCTGCTTGCTTCTCCTTCCCTGTTCTGCCCGGCTCACCCCTCACCTCACCCCTTTCCCCACATCAGGCTGCAATGGAGCGCATGCTAGCCACAGCAGCATACAACGCCCAAGTGCAAATCGACCAGGCATCAGCAGCCTCACCCCACCCTCTCTGCTCGCCTCTATCCTCCTCTATTACCCCCTTATTCCCCCCTCACCAACCCCACCAGGCTGCAATGGAGCGCATGCTAGCCACAGCAGCGTACAACGCCCAGGTGCAGATCGACCAGGCATCAGCAGCCTCACCCCACCCTCTCTGCTCGCCTCTATCCTCCTCTATTACCCCCTTATTCCCCCCTCACCAACCCCACCAGGCTGCAATGGAGCGCATACTAGCCACAGCAGCGTACAACGCCCAGGTGCAGATCGACCAGGCAGCAGCAGCCGCCGCAGCAGAGAAAGCCAAGGCAGCACAGGCAGGCAACCGCAAGTGGGGCGGGTGGGGGCGGGCTATGAGCATAGGCGCAGCAGCAGTGGGGACAGGCGCGCTGCTGGCGGTGACGGGGGGGTTGGCGGCGCCTGTGCTGCTGGCGGGGATGTCTGCTGCTGGGTCGGTGATTCCGGTGGCCGGGGGGATTCTCACTGGCGCTGCTGCGCTGGCTGGGACGACTGTGGGCTCTGCTGCTGTCATTGGCGCCTTTGGTGGTGAGTGGGGGGTGGGGAAGGGAAGAGTGGGAGGGAGCAGCGGGGTTTGATGCCCTGGGAAGGAGGGAGGGATTTCTGTGATTTGGTGAAGGCAGCTTTGACTTGACCTAGACATGAGCACATGGGCGAACACCTGTTCGGTTCGCCTCGAACACGTTCGAGGCGAACCGAACAGGTTTGTTTTTTTTGCTTAAAGTGTTCGCCAAACAGTGTTCGAGGTTCGCCCGAACACGTTCGTGTTCGGGCCGCTGCTGCAATTTGCCCCGCGACGAACACGAACGTGTTCGAGGTTCGCCCGAACACGCCTTCACAGGCGAACGGCGAACACCTGTTTTTGCTTGAAGTGTTCGCCGAACCGAACAGTGTTCGGTTCGGCAAACGGATGTGTTCGTGTAGGGGCGAACACGAACATGTTCGTGTTCGCCCCTTGCTCATCCCTAACTTGACCTGACCGCTCTCGCTACCACCCGTGCATCCGCTCTCGTACCGCCCGTGGATGACTGCTTGGGAACGTGGAGGCATCTGCAGACGTCTCAAAAGCTGACCGCTCTCGCTACCGCCCGCGCATGACTGCTTCGGAACGGGGAGGCTTCATCTGAGACAATCCAGTTCCGACCTGTCCCCTCCCCCCCCCTGCTACTTCCCTCCCCCCTATCGAATGCTCAGCGGGGGGAGCCCGCATGAGTAGCTTCTTGCAGAGGCTCAAAATACACCTCATTGCAGGGGGAACGGTTGGGGACGAGGCGGTGGTGGTGACACAACATCGGTCCGTGGGAGCTGGGAAGGAGAGGGGAAATATGGATGGGACGGGGGGACGGAGGTCGTTGACTTGCTCGAGACTTCGTACTCTACGGATACATACCTAATAGATGCAAGAGCCGTGATGGAGACAACGGCCGAGATGGGGATAGCGGCCCTGGTGGATGGAATGGCCCTGTTCAACGCAGCAAATATTTCCGTTCAAGCTTGTCAATGGGACGATGCTGCAGGCAGTGCTTCTGTTGACAATGTTGTCTCCATCACGGCTCTTGCATCTATTAGGTATGTATCCGTAGAGTACGAAGTCTCGAGCAGGTCAACGACCTCCGTCCCCCCGTCCCATCCATATTTCCGCTCTCCTTCCCAGCTCCCACGGACTGGTGTTGTGTCACCACCACCGTCTCCTCCCCAACCGTTTCCCCCCAGGCTCAAAATACACCTCACTGCACGGCGCATGGGCGATGTAGAGGCATCTCATCTGCGATATATCTGCAATAGAGAGGAATTACAATTCACCCCGCTTCCCCACCCCTTGTCCTGTCCTGTCCTGTCCCCCCCGCTTCCCCGGCGCGGCGGTTAGGTGATGTGGAGGAGTTCAAGTTCGTGCCACTCGCCAATGCTGATGCTGTTGCCCCCCTTCGCCCTCCTGCTGTTGCCCCCCCCTTGCTGTTGCCCCCCCCTTGCTGTTGCCCCCCCCCTTGCTGTTGCCCCGCCCCCCCCTCCCTGCTGTTCCCCGCCCTCAATTGTTCAGCCGCGGGTGCCCGCATGGGCAGCTACAAGATGGCGCGGCGCCTGGGAGACGTGGAGGAGTTCAAGTTCGTGCCACTCGCCAATGCTGATGCTGTCCGCGCCATGGGCGTTGCTGTAGGGCGACAAGGAGGGGGAGGGGGAATGGGAGGAGGGGGAGCGGGTGGAGGAGGGGGAGGGGGACGAGGGGGAACGGTGGACATGTGGGGGAGACGTTCTGGTGATGCTGGTGGTGGGAGAGGAGGAGGTGGTGGTGGTGATGGGGATGAGGATGGCGTTGGGGTGAGTATCGCAAATGTTGCATGAGAGATCATGCACGCGCAAACTCACACACACACACACACACACACACACACACACACACACACACACACACACACACACACACACACACACACACACACACATCTCTTCCTACGCCCATCCAACTGGGTGACCCTTCCCCTCCCTTACAACTTCCCCCACACCCCTTCCTTGCTGTTTTCCTCACTTTTTCTCTGACCGTTTTGCTCCTTATGCTGAACCCCAAGGCCTTTACCCAAACCCTGGCCCAAACCTTCAACCAAAACCCAAAACCGAAAACCAAGAACCCCACCCTAAACCTGAACCCTAAACCCTGTTGCAGAAGCTATCGGTGGCAGTAGTGGCAGCAGGGTATGTGCTGAACACCAAGGACTTTGTGGAGCCGTGGCTGTCGCTGCCCACTGACACTGAACAGTGAGTCACCGGTGGGGCAGCAGCGCAGGGCAGGGCATGGGGTGTTGTGGCATGGCATGGTAGGGTGTGGCACAGCATGGCATGGCATGGCGGGGTATGTGCTGAACACCAAGGAATTCGTGTAGCCGTGGCTGTCCCTGCCCACCGACACTGAACAGTGAGTCGCTGGCGTGGAGTGGCATGGTGTGGTATGGTATGGCATGGTATGGCATGGTATGGCATGGTATGGTATGGCATGGCATTGCATGGCATGGCATTGCATGGCATTGCATGGCATGGCATTGCATGGCATTGCATTGCATGGCATTGCATGGCATGGCATGGCATCCAACAGGGAACCGCCAGCCGACGTGATCAAGTGGTGCTGGGTTAGCAGATTTTGTGGCAAGCAGCATGTCTTGAACATGCGATATCCATTGATTGTATGTAACAGGCATCATTGTCCCTCCCTCCCTCCCTCCTCCCTTACCGCTTGTCCTCTTCCTCTCCACCTGCTCTCTCTCCCTCCCACTCTCATTTCCACCCTTCAACTCCCCCTCCCCCTCTCTCCCCCTCTGCCCCCCTCTCTCACATGCACAGGTTCGCTGTGGTGTGGCAGTCAGCGGATCTCATCACATCAGGCAGGGCCATCAACGACTGGCTCATGTCCAGTTGAGTGCTCAGCTGAGCGTCCGAATGTAAACCGTCAGGAGTGTGTCTGAGTGTGGAGTGTGGAGCGTGATGACATTTGAGCTGCCTAGAAAGTCTCATAACATCAGGCAGGGCCATCAACGACTGGCTCATGTCCAGTTGAGTGCCGAGAATATGTTTGTGGGCCGTTAGGAGTGGGGAGTGTTGAGTGGGGAGTGTTGATGGTGGCAGTGCAGGTGCTGGGGGCGGAACTGCTTATATGGGGGCTGAACTCGACTGACACTGACACATGCACCCATCCGCACTCATCTGCACCCCTCTCCCCTCTTCTTCGTTACACCAGCGGCGGTGCAGCTGTCAGTGGCAACCGGGGGAGCGATGGTAGCAGTGCAGGTGCTGGGGGCTGCTGCTGCTGCTTTAGGCCTTCTGAAACATGCACCATTCTCTCCCCCCCCTACACCCATCTTCACCGCTCCCTTTCACCCCATCAGTTTGCAGCTCGCTGAGAATTATGTCACAAGACCTGCTGCTGCTTCAAGCCTTCTGAAACATGCACCATTCTCTCTCCCCCCTACACCCATCTTTCACTGCTCCCTTTCACCCTCTCGTCCTCTCTCCTCCTTGTTTCTCCAGCCGCGGTGCAGCGGTCAGTGGTGACGGGGGGAACCATGGTGGCAGTGCAGGTGCTGGGGGCGTCTGTCATGTGGCCCATCACACTGCTCACTGCTGCTGCTACGATTGACGACAAGTGGAGCGTTGCTGTCAACCGGTGAGGGGGGATGGAGACAGGGATGGATGGGGATGGGATGGGCACTTTAAGAGAGGAAGGGAAGGGTGGGCATGCTTGGCCCTTCTCGTTGCTCACTGCTGCTGCTTCCGTTGACGACAAGTGGAGCGTTGCTGTCAACCGGTGAGGGAGCATGGGGATGGGGATGGGAGTTCAGGAGAAAAAGGGGCGTTGGGATAGGAATGAAAGGGCGTCTGTCATGTGGCCCATCACACTGCTCACTGCTGCTGCTTCCATTGACGACAAGTGGAGCGTTGCTGTCAACCGGTGAGGGGGGATGGAGACAGGGATGGATGGGGATGGGATGGGCACTTCAAGAGAGGAAGGGAAGGGTGGGCATGCTTGGCCCTTCTCGTTGCTCACTGCTGCTGCTTCCGTTGACGACAAGTGGAGCGTTGCTGTCAACCGGTGAGGGCACTGGGGATGGAGGTGGGAGTTCAGGAGAAAAGGGGGCGTTGGGATAGGAATGAAAGGGCGTCTGTCATGTGGCCCATCACACTGCTCACTGCTGCTGCTTCCGTTGACGACAAGTGGAGCGTTGCTGTCAACCGGTGAGGGGGGATGGGGACAGGGATGGATGGGGATGGGATGGGCACTTCAAGAGAGGAAGGGAAGGGTGGGCATGCTTGGCCCTTCTCGTTGCTCACTGCTGCTGCTTCCATTGACGACAAGTGGAGCGTTGCTGTCAACTGACGAGGACATTGGGGATGGGGATGCCACCCACCTCCTCACTATGCCTCACTCTTGCTATGCTCTGCACTCTCAGTTATGCGGCACACTCCCGCTCCACTCACGCCACACTTTGTCACCCTCATATCATCTTCATTTACCCTTGTATCATTCACTCGTGTTCGTGTGCGTGCATGCGTGCATGTGTGCATGTGTGCATGTGTGCATGTGTGCGTGGGTGGCAACACCAGCACGGACAAGGCAGGAGCAGTGTTGGCAGATGTGCTGTTGGAGCGAACACAGGGATCCAGGTGCGCTCTCTAGATTCAAAACCACGCTTCTGTAAGTAAAATCTCTTTGCTCTTTGAAGCTCCTTTGCAGCTCCTCTTTGCAGCCCGTCTCAGAAGATCCCGCCATCCACATATCCACCTGTGCTTCTCTCTCTCTTCCCCCTCACCCCCCTTCCCCGCTTTCTCCTTCTCCGTTTCCCCCATCCTTTCCTGCACCCTTTCTGCAATGCTGCCCTGCCCCCATCCTTTCACGGACCCTTCTCCCAGCCCCCGTACAGTGCCAGTGACAGTGATATTCTTCTCCCTTCTATATCCCCTCATCTTCTCCTGCCTCTCCCACCAACACACATACTCTTCCCACACTTTCCCTCTCCCTCCCACTCCCCTCCCCACCACTCCCGCCGTTTCCCCACCCTCCGACCCTCCCCCTACCAACCCAGACCAGTGACACTGATAGACTTCTCCCTGGGTCTGCGCCACATCTTCTCCTGTCTCTCCAACTAACACATACTCTTCCCTCCCTGTTACCCCACCCTCCCTCCCCACCAACCCAGGCCAGTGACGCTGATAGGCTTCTCCCTAGGTGCGCGTCTCATCTTCTCCTGCCTCACCCACTAACGCGTTCTCTTCCCTCCGTTTTTCTGTCCCTCCCTCCCCCCCAACTCTTTCCCCCACCCTCCCCCCCTCCCCCAACCCAACCCAGGCCAGTGACGCTGATAGGCTTCTCCCTGGGTGCACGTCTCATCTTCTCCTGTCTCACCCACCTTGCTGCTAAAGGCCATGCTGCAAGTAAGTGTTAGTGTTAGCCCTCAATCTCACATTTTGTACTTGCACTTTTATATCCTAGTGTAGTGTGCACTTTGTGTTTGGTTGGGTGTACACCCACATCCCAAATGTGATCTCCAAGCAATCTCCAACCCACCAATTGGAGATTGCCTTAGGATTACCCCCGATTCTCTCCCCATCCTTACCTTGCCCATTTCCGATGTACTTATAGAGCCTTGAGCTCATTACTAATCTATCCATTCTAAAGCTCAAGTTCTAACAGTAAGACCTTCTTTCCTCCCCCATATCTCTCTCCTGACCCACATCCCTTTCCCGGCCCTCCTTTTCCCCACCCTCCCCCCAGCGCCCTTCCTCCCTACTCTCCGTTTTCCCGCCTTTGCCCCTGGTCGCTAATCTTAACTTTTCCTGTCTCACCTAACTCGCTGCCAAAGCACATCCTGCCAGTGAGGCACCTCCCTTCCCCCTCCCCCCCCATCCTTTGTCCCCCGTCTCCCGTTCTTGTCTCTCATCGCCCATCCCCGTTCCTTCTCCCTCGTCTCCCATTTCCCCTTTTCTCCCGGCCGTCTAAATCTGCAATGGGGGTGGTAGAGCGCGCAGTGCTACCAGGAGCGCCAGTGGTTGGCTACAGTGGTTGCTACGGGGAGCGCCAGTGGTTGGCTACACATGTGATTTTTTTATATATTTTAAAAAGAGTTCTCTTTGCCTCTCCTCTCAACATCTCCCCACCCCAAACATCCCCCTTCCCCGCTCCTCTCTATCCCCCTCAATCGCAGTGGGGGTGGTGGAGCAGGCAGTACTACTGGGAGCGCCAGTGGCAGCACAAGACAGCACATCACAGATAGTTCTCGAGAATCCTCAAAACTCCCTCTCTTCCCTCTCCCGCTCCCCTTGCCCTCTCAAACAACAGTGGGGGTGGTGGAGCGGGCAGTACTACTGGGAGCGCCAGTGGCAGCACGAGACAGCTCCGCATGGGAGGCAGCAAGACGGGTGGGCGCAGGGGAGGGGGTTAGGGGAATAGGGGGGAGAAAAGGGGGAGTGAGGGGGAGTGACTGTGGATAGTGGGGGGGAAGGGTGAAGGGGAGGAGTGAGAAAGGAAGGTGGAAGAGGGGGGGAATGAGGTGGGGAGTGTAATGGGAGGGAAAGACGAGAAAGAGGGGCACGGAGAAAGTGTTCAAACCCCGTAATGGGGAGTGTAATTCTTGTCTTTCATTGGTGCTTTCCATTTTCACTCTTCCGCTTTCGCTCTGTGGTTCAAACCCCGTTTGAGGCTCCTGAAGACGAGACAGATTCCAAGGCGCACCACCATTACCCCCTGACCTCTGCCCCCCACAAAATCTCAGAGGGGGTGACATCTGCCCCCTCTCACTACTGAGAGAGGCTAGTGCTATCCGCATGTGCCTCCTCCCTCCTAATATGCTTACTCTCTCATCCATCCCTCGCTCTCTTCCCCCTTCCCCTCGCGCTCACATCGCCCCTCAGGTCGTCTCTGGTCGCTTGGTAAACGGCTACTGTGAGAACGACTGGGCGTTGGGCCTCATGTATCGCACCAGGTATGGCGCTTCTCGTGCACCCACTCTGGCCTCTCGACGCTACAATCTAGAGTCCAAAACTCTAGGTTCTTGACTCTAGTCTAGGGTCTAGGGTTGGAGGCTTTGGATCGGGCAGAGGTTGGGCTGGGATGGTTCTGCCTGTCTCAAACTCGATTGGTCCTGCCTGTTATATTCGCGGTGTGTGTGTGTGTGCAAGCATGTGTCTGTCTGTGTGTGTTCTTTCTCTTGATCCACTTCCGTCTTTGATTCTCCTCTTCACTCCCTCCCTCCCTCCATCCCAACCACCCGCCCACTCTACCTCCCTCCCTCTCTCCCTCCTTCCCTCCGCCTCCTTCCCTCTGCCTCCTTCCCTCCCTCCACCCTAAACCCTGGTCAACCCACAGTTTTCTGCTTTCCGGAGTTGCTGGCATTCAAGCAGTCAAGGTCAAGGGAGTTGAAAACGTAAGCCACTCTCCTCACCTTCGTTCCTCCCTTCATTCTTTCCGTTCTCTCTTCTCTCCTCCCAATTCCTCCTCTTCTATTCACCATTTTTTTCTTCTCCTTTTATGCGCCTGAACTACTGCATACTCAGTGGTTCTACTGCATGTTCGTTTCCTACCCTCTGCTTAACACAATTGCAGCCGTGAACTTAAATAGTTCCCTTGTTCATTCCATCCTTTTCCAGCACGCGCCTCTTGTGTCCTCTCAACTCCTACTTCCCCCCTAAGTAAGCATTGAGGTGAGTTTTGAGGCGCCTCAAAACTCACATCAATGCTCGGCTCCTACTTCCCCCCTACCCTCCTGATGCTTCTTGCACGCCAATCAGGTGCATCTCAAGCCTCTGATCCATCGACGGGCACACTGCTTGCTGTCGGGAGTGCCAAACAGCCATTTTCCTTTCAAACAGTATCTCTGAAACCTCTTCCCCCTTCCCCGTTGCACGCCATTCAGATGGATTCCACGCCTCTCATCGATCGATGGGCACACGAGCTACCTGTCTGTCGGGAGTGCCAAGCACCCATTCTCTCTTTAAACATTTTTTTGTTGAACATCTCCCTTTTCCCCATTGCACGCCGTTCAGGTGAATCTCACGCCTCTGGTGGACGGGCACACGAGCTACCTGTCGGGAGTGGAGCGGCAACCATCCACTTTGTCTTCTGAATTACTTTTTACACTTCCCCCCTCCCTCCCCCGTTGCACGCCCATGCAGGTGAATCTCACGCCTCTGGTGGACGGGCACACGAGCTACCTGTCAGGAGTACCGGCCATTCTGGATGCTCTGAGCATCGACTCCCCGCTCGCTGCCACACCCACCGACGTGTTGCGAGCTGCCAAGGAGTGGAAGGAGGAGGAGGAGAGCCTCATCTGAGACTCTGCTTTGGGTTTACTTCGTTCCGTGTATTCTCTTCTGTGGCGGGCGCATGAAGTGCCGGCCATTCTGGATGCTCTGAGCATCGACTCACCGCTCGCTGCCACGCCTGCGGACCTGCTGTGGGCTGCCAAGGAGTTGAAGGAGGAGTCCGTATCTGATTGTGCTAGGTTGGGTTCTGAGGATTGTTGACTCTGATATGCTGTGTGTGTCAGAATGTTATTATCTAGCCTGTAGTGGGGTGCTCTATAGCGAGTACAACCCTGTTAGGGTTGGCTATATGTATCCCAACTGCTGCTAGTGAAACATCCTCCTTTCTTCATTCTTACTTTCTACTGCTAGTTCTGACATGGTATCAGAGCAGGTCGACCCCCTTGGGTCGATCCTGTGGGTGGGCCCACCACCTAAAGCTTCCGCTGCTCTACTGCTGTCGCGCGCCCCGAGCGCGCTACCCTTTCTTCCTGCCGTGAATTTTTTTCTTCCCGCTGCGCGTCTGATGCGCGCGGCGGTTTTCCTGTGTGGCGCGCGCCCGGGGGGCGCGCGGCCCTTTCTTCTTCCTGGCGCCCCCTGGCGAGCCGCGCGCTGCCCCCGCCCGTCCGTCGCGGCACCCTGGGGAGCCGCGCGCTGCCCCCGCCCGTCCGTCGCGGCGCCCTGTGGAGTTGCGCGTGGCCCCCGCCCGTCCGTCGCGGCACCCTGGGGAGCCGCGCGCTGCCCCCGCCCGTCCGTCGCGGCGCCCTGGGGAGTCGCGCGCGACCCCCCGCTGCCCCGTCGCGCCGCCCTGGGGAGCCGCGCGCGGCCCCCCTACTGCCCGGTGGTGGCGCCCTGGGGGCTGCGCGCCGTCCCCCCCGCCGTCCCCCGCGCTCCTGCCCCTTACAACCCGTTTTAGGGTTTTGGGCTGAGGAGTGTGGGGGTGTTGGTTGTGGGGGTGCCCGGTGTGTGCACCGTCCCCTACTCCTCCTCCTCCTCCGTCTCCCACTGCTGCAGCTGCCGCTGAGGGGGGTGGGTGTGTGGGAGCCGAGGGTTTAGGGTTTAAGGGGGGTGCCGTGGGAGTGGAGCTAGGGTTTCAGCAGGGGGTGTGTGAGAGGGGTGTGGGACGGTCGGGGGAGGTTGAGTGGAGGCTGCTGTCTTGTCGTCCGCAGCACCTGTAGTCCGGGGCGCACTGTCCTGGTAGCCCAGAGAGTCTGCTGCGCCTGTCGCCCGTGGGTCCGTTGCTCCTGTAGCTCCTCGTAGCCCGTGAGCCAGTTACTCCAGTAGTCCGGGGCGCTGTCTCGGTAGCCACTGTGCCAGCAGCTTCTGTTGCCCGTGTGTCTGCAACTTCAGCCGTCGTCTCCCATCTTCTATCCTCGCACAGTCCCTCCTCCTCCTCACTTGCCCACTGTGATTACCTCTAGCTTTGCTTCTTATTGTGCACTCCTACTATGCCTGCTCATTGTGCTGATTACACCCCACTTTGGCTATGGGGGTGTGTCAGAATGTTATTATCTAGCCTGTAGTGGGGTGGTCTATAGCGAGTACAACCCTGTTAGGGTTGGCTATATGTATCCCAACTGCTGCTAGTGAAACATCCTCCTTTCTTCATTCTTACTTTCTACTGCTAGTTCTGACAGTGTGAGCCACCGGGGGAGGGGAAGGATGAGGAGCAGAGGCAAGGCTAATCTGATAGTGCGCTGTGTGTGCTCCTTTTTCTTTTAACCTGTGGTTTTACAGAGAGCTGCTCTGTATGTACCCCTGATTGAGTAGCAAGCTTTACTATTTCTCATGGTTCTTGTGGTGTTGGTACACACGGGTACTTTCCCCAACCGGTGCATGTACAGTCTCCCCTCCCCCTCTCCCTGAGTCCCCCCTGTTGAGATAAATTGTAGTCCCCCCCTAGCATTGTCACACGTAACACTTGAGGCTCCATGTCAAACGATTGGACTGTATTTGTCACATGGAATTACTATGTACAAGCAAGGAGGGAGGGAGATCAAAGATGCAGTTGAGTTGAGATTTGTGATTCGCAACAAAATGATGCGATGAAGAGTTGTTAGGATAGAGCAGGCCAAGACGCCGGCACCCACGGACCAAACGAGCCATCTAAGAGCCGCTCCACTCTTGTTACAAGCACTTTCACAGTGTCATCGGGCATGTTGCCTATGCACTGCACAATACAGGGGAGCACAGGAAGAGGAGCAGCCTCCAATAAAAACCAACGCACAGGGGAAGAAAAAGAAGCCACCTGGAGAAAAAAAATGAAAAGAAAAAAGAAATACCAAACCGGAAAGGAACCTGAACTGGGGGAACAAAATTAGCAGCAAAATGCTCAGAACGCTGGTACTTACCTGAGCTTTGGTTATATGTGGATGCCATACTATCACTGCTGCTGTTCCCACACAAGGCACATCTCTTCTTCCTTCAACCCCTTCCCTCCCTCTGCTTGCCCTCCCTTCACTTTCCACCTCCACCCATCCTTCACCTTCCTCCTGCTGCTCCTTCCCTCTCTCCTCCCTTCTCTCCACCCCATTCCCTTCCCTACCGCCGTACCGATCTCCTCCGCTCAACTCCTTATCCTCACTTATTCTCCCTCCTTTAGCTCGTGGGGAGAAGAGGGAGAGTAAGGAAAGCCATGCCTGGTGTTTTGATGAGTCAACCTGATATCACGTCCAAGGGCAATAACATGATACCGGGGACGTGACGGATGAGGGAGAGGTGGAGAGGGGGATACAAAAAACAACCTTATGCGGCTGGAAGGCAAGGGCACCAAGGACGGGATGCAAGGAAGGTTGATGCAAGGGAGGAAGATGCAAGGACGGAACAACCGTGCCGACAAGAGTGGGATATGATAAACACCGTGGATGCAAGAATAGGCGAGAGCGCGGGAGACGAGAAGGAGGGCGGATGCGAAAGGGTGGCATGAACGGGGGAGTGGTGAGGAAAAGCAGGGGTAAGGTAGTAGTAGGGTCCCAGGAAGGGCTTACGTAGGAAAACACAAGCCTTGGTTCTTTGGCAAAGGATGCGGCCACCTGCAATGGGCCACAGGGGACAGGGATGGGGATGGGGACAAGGACGAATAGAGAATTATTGGAAGCCATGGTGTCAACACGTATGTTCTTTTAGAATTCTAAAAAAACATAGGAAGCAGCTTATCTAAAAGCACCTGCATAGGCAGTGGACCACAGGAGATGGGGATGGGGATGGGGATGGAGATGGAGATGGGGATGGGGATGGGGATGGGGATGGAGATGGGGATGGGGATGGGGATGGGGATGGGGATGGGGATGGGGATGGGGGTGGGGATGGGGATGGGGATGGGGATGGGGATGGGATGGGGCCAGCTAGGAACAACCTCAGGCGTACCTCTCTGTAGCTAGTAAGAGCAGCGTCTTTGTCAGACGAGGCACAGTCCCGCAGCACCATCACCACAGCATATGGCGCCGTGCTACCACCACTCACTAACATGCTGCTGCTACTGCTGGTGCTGCCGCTGGTGGTGCTGCTGCTGCCTGTTCGCCTATCAGCAGGCAGCCACCAGCAATCCGCACTAGAAGAGAGTTCCACCACTCCACCACCCTCCATTCTCCCTTGCTTCTCCCTCCCACTGCTTCCGCCGCCACTGCTCCTCACACCAACCTTTGCTACCTCACCCCTGCTACTACTACTGCTGGCCTTGCTGCTGCTGCCGCTGCTAATCACACTGCTGCTGTGAACGCTACTGAGAGCATCACGGGTAACCCTGGAAAGAGGTGGGAGGTAGTCAGACGAGGGTTTGTGAGTGGGACCATGCTCCCACATGTTCAGTCGCTTCCTCTCCCACGCCACTGCTCTTGCTGCATCATCTGCTGTCCTTGCCTCCTCTCTCTTCTTCACCCCTCGGCCCTTCTGCTGATCCACTCCCCATCCCTCTCCCTCCTCCTCCCCATCCTCCTCTCCTTCCTCTTCCTCCTCTTCCTCCCCTTCCTCCTCTTCCTCCTCCTCCCCTTCCTCCTCCTCTGATACTCTTATCCCTCCTGCTCCCGTTGCAGATGCAGTGGAAGGAGCACCTAAGCACGTGCCAATAGTGTAGATCACAACGAGCGTTATGAAGGCAGACAGTAGCGGGGATGAAATAGCCTCCCCTAGCGGCTCCCCTAGAAGCAGCTCCAGAGTGTGTTTACAGGCATAGAAGGATTGCCAGAGGAAGGAGAGGAGGGCGGAGGGGAGGAACCAGGAGGGCAGAGAGGAGGAGGAGGAAGAGGAGGGAGAGAGTGTGTGGTCCCACCAGGTGTTTGGATGGGCCAGAGCGGGAGGTTGCTGCTGCAGAGCTCGGAACTACGTGGGATAGAGAGAGAGAGGGAGATGGGGGTAGGCGGGTGGTTGAGAGGGAGGGAGAGAAGGGGAATGCGGGGAAGAATTAGTCCTGCTGGGGTTTGAGAGGCAGCAAAATGCAAGCGTATCGGCATGGGCATGCGCATGGGCATGAGTATGTGTATTAGGTATGGGAGTATGTATCGGGTATGGGGGATGGGCATGGGCATGGGCATGGGCATGGGCATGGGCATGGGCATGGGCATGGGCATGGGCATGGGCATGGGCATGGGCATGGGCATGGGCATGGGCATGAGCATGAGCTTTTCACCTGAGGATGCACGAGATCATGTGATTCACTGCCTCCTATGAGATCTGATAGCCACTCAAACATCTGATGGGGGTATGGTGGAAAGAGGGGAAAGAGGACAACGAGGAGAAGAAGGAGGAACGGAAAGGATGAGGAGAGGGACGCAGAGAAGGGTAGAGGGTATAAAAAGGGGCAGGTTTCACTGTCCAGATACCCTAAACCTTTCCAACTTCCCCAAATCCATTCCACCATCCTGAAATCCTATCATCATCCCTGCCCTGTTCAGTCATAATTCTCAGAGAGCAGCAGTTGTGTACTCTAGGCTTAAGCAAAGGAACAACAGCGGTACTCGCTATGCAAAACTAAGTGCTCAGGTGAAATTCTATCATCATCCCTGCCTTGCGAAACCTACCTCATACGATTCACTCACAAACGCCGCGCGTACTCACCTCTCCTGCAGAAACCAACGGGCAGTCGTCCCCTCCCCCCGCCTCACTCCGCCTCGTTCCCCTCCCTGATGCCCTTCCCCCTCCTCCCTTCCGTCGCAGCACAGCCACATGCTGTGATACCCTCCTCTTATTCCCTCCCCCTCTCACCCCCTCTCCTCCTAACTCTCCCCATCTTGCTCCCCATCCTCCGTTTCCCCTTCCTCCCTTTCCGCCTTTTCCTCCACCCGTTCCCACGTGCTGGTGTCGCAACAACACTATGGCAGGACAGGCTCCTGTTCTCAGACTTGCTTTGCCATCGTTTCTTTCTTTTCCCCACCTGCCCCAGCTCCATCCAGCGATCAGAGAGCTTTTCGGCTGCCCGAGCGGAAAGAACGGAGACCCGAGAAATTGGAGCGAGAGGGAGTTGGCATAGTCTTGAAAGGAGGAGGAGAGGGAGGAGACGAGGTGGGAGGAGAGGAGGAGAAACTGGTCGAGATAGTGTGTGGTGTAGTGAGAGAGAGAGGGGGAGGAGCAGAGGGAGAGGATGGACGGGGGAGGGGCGAAGGGCGAGAAAGGGAGGTAGCGGAGGATTGAGGAGGAGAGACGTGAGAGGGAGGAGGTGATGGGAGATGGAAGGACGCGGAGAACAGGAGATAAGAGCTGGGAGAAGAATTGTGCAAGTTGAGTAATAATTCTAGGCAGGACGTGAGAGTGAGCGTGAGCGTGTGAGCGAGTGTGAGAGTGGGTGTGGGAGTGAGGGGAGAGGGAGAGGAGGAAGCGGCAAACAGCTGGCTGTTGGGAGGCATCGAGCCAAGAGAGGAAGAGGCGGTGGGAGGAGAAGGCAGTGTAGGGAGGCGAGGAGGAGGAGGATGGCGGGTTGTCGAGGATTCGCTTCAGCTTGCGAATCTCCTGTTGATTGGCAACGGGTGGGCAAGGGGTGCGCACGAAATGGGAACGAGATGAGGCAAGGGATGAGCAATTGCAAGGAAAGTGAGGGATGGTGAGTAGGGGAGGGCGATGAAAACGATAATAGTGGTGGCGAGTAGATTGGAGCAAATGATATCAACAGCCCCAAAGGGCAACCTCACAAGCACTAGAAGAGCACTAACCCCAATGGACCAGCTCACAAAGCACCAGAGGGGCACAAAGCTACTAGTGACAAAGAGGCTGACATGAAGCACAGATTAGCATACCGAAAGGGAGGAGGCGAAAGAGGAGAACTTGGAGAGGGCGAGGTCTGCTGAATGGCCGATGAGCACTAGAGAGTACCAGGGCCCGTGTGCGGGGAGAGAGGGGTGAGAGGAGTCGGCAGAGGAAGAGGAGGAGGAGGAGGAGGAGGAGGAAGGGGAGGAGAAGAGGGAGAAGAGGTGGGAGGAATCGGGGATGTAGAATCGGAGCAGAGGCGCTGAGTCCTTGTGCAGGGAAAGGAGATCTGTGGTAGGGGTGGTGGGAGAGGAGACAAGGGAAGAGGTGAGGGGGTGGTGAGGGTGTTGGTGTTGGTGTTGGTGTGGTGTGTGTGTGCGCGCGCGTGTGCGCGTGTGAGTGTGTGTGTAAATGATGTAGCCTTCCGTGTACCAATTGCTTGCCTTACTCCGCCCACTTCCTCCCTGAATTCTTTCTAATCCCCAGCTGAGAACTGGCATGCTCTGCTCACTCGTCACACATCTTGCATGCGGCTCACCGCGTGAATGCCGATTAGGCCATGCAATTGTTTTGCAGAGAGCACGTAATGGAACTTTCAGACTAGAAACAGAGGTGACTTTTGAGTCGACTCAAAAGTCACCTCGTTTTGCAGAGAGCGCGTGATGGAACTTTCAGACTAGAAACAGGCGATTGGCGCAAATTCATCCATGCATGGGTTACGGTCCACGGACAGGTAACAGCTCACCAGGCGATTGGTTCTTAGACAGCACGTCATGAAGCCTGTCTTTGCTCCACTTCCCTGGGACAAAGTGGGTGACACGATGACGGGTGGGAAGTGAAGCAGGGGGACGGGGGAAGCAGGGAGGGGAAGCAGGGAGGGGAAGCAAGGGGAGATATGTGCATTAAGAAGAGGAATGCTACCTTTGAAGAGTGTTCTAGTGGAGAATGGTACTATAGGGAGTGTTGTTACCTGCAAAGAGAATGTTAGTGGTTCAAAGAGTGGTGTGGTACCAACAACGAGTGGTACTTACCAGTGACAACTAGAGGCTCTCTCTGAGGGTCCTTGAAGATGAGCAGACAGGGAAGGCGACGCATGCCCAGGCTGCTCAAGTGGGTATGGGTGAAGTAAGGGTGCACAGGGAACGATGGAACGGGTTATATTCAGCATGATTCAGAGAGCACAGAGGGTTCTTGAAGATGAGTAGACAGGGCAGGCGACGCATGCCTAGGCTGAGGATGTGGGGATGGTTGAAGGGAGGGGGCAAAGGGAAGAGCAGAATGGGGCAACTGAACACTGCTGCTGCTGCTGCTGCTGCTGCTGCTGCTGCTGTCTCCCACAGCCACTTCTGGGTCAACTCTGTGCTCTCTGACGCATGCCTAGGCTGCTCAAGTGGGTATGGACGCGGAATGGGGCAACTGAACGCTGCTGCTGCTGCTGCTGTCTCCCACAGCCACTTCTGGGTCAACTCAGAACTCACCAAGGGTCACCAAGGGGCGAGGGCATTAAAGTGGTGAGGGTGGAGGGCGACAGAGGGAACAAAAGCCAGCAAGCAAGGGTGTGAGGTGAAGTGAAGCTGCTGGTGTTGTGCTGGTGGTGCTTCCTCCAAAATCACTTCTGAGCCCAGTCAACACTCACCGAGGGGCGAGCGGTTGAGGTGGTGTGGGTGCAGGGCGACAGAGGAGAAGTGGAGGGAGGAACGCCACTGCGGATCCGCTGCTGCTGCTGCTGCTACTACTTCTTCTTTCCAACTCAATTCAACACTCACCGAGGGGCGAGCGCGTTGAGGTGGTGTGGGTGCAGGGCGACAGAGGAGAAGTGGAGGGAGGAACGCCATTGCGGATCCGCTGATGCTACCCTCATCTGGAGGAGCAGAGCGGCTGCTGCTGAGGAAGAGGAGGCGGACGAGGAGGACTCGACTGGAACAGCAGCCACTACGACTGGCTTTTGGAAGGAGAGGCGAAGAGGTAGGGATTCCTGTGAAGAGAGGAAGGGGAAAGGGGGAGAGTGAAGGTCGGTGGATGAGGTGGGGGATGGGGGAAAGGGGAAGGAGTGAGGATTGGGAGAAACAGGAGTAAGTGGGAAAGCAGAAGGAGAAGGCAACTGGGGAGAGGAAGAGTAGTGCTGGTGCACGTGCAAACATGCAGGCAGCAGCACACAGCATTTCTACGGTTCCATCAACCAACCATGCCTTTGCACACATATATGTGTGTGAATGTGAGCATATTTATATACACGTATGTGTACAGTTGTATGTACGAGCGCGTATGTGCATGCGCATAAGAGTGCATACAAATATGCCAGCCGGAAAACGTACAAGGAGGGACGGAGAGACGGCCGGGAGGTAAGGCAGGAGGAGGAGCGAGTCAGTGAGGAAGGAGCGCAGAGAGGAAGGGGCTGCAGAGGCCCACACGGACGAGCAGCACGCAATGTCCCGACAGGATGGGGTGAAGGCCACGAAGGCCGGGAAGCCTGGTGGGTGGCGTGGAGGGGGGTGAGGGGCAGAGTAGGGGAGAGGAGAGGGAGGCACAGTTGGGAGGTAGAACAGGTGGAATAGGAGGTTTTGGGCACCTCACAAGGGGTGATTCAGAGAGGAAAGAGGATGTGGTAATCAAACGGGAAACGGAAATTAGAAATCAGGGAGGAAGAATAGGCAACACCACACCACGACACACCACACCGCATTGGAGGCGCACCACACCACACTACACCAGTGAGGCAACAAGAATGGAGCATGACTCTTGACACGCCCCGAAAACCAGAGCACAGAACACAGAGCACGGGGCAGTGGGCCGAGGGCAGAGCACAGAGGGCAGTGGGCACGGGAAAGAGGGCAGAGGGCAGGGGGCAGAGGGCAGAGGGCACGAACCGGATCCAAAGCCGAAGGAGGAGCGGAAGCACTTGTGGTTGGCGAGAACCGATGCCAGGCGCCGCTGCTCCGATACCTCCACCCTGCCAAACCGCACCACACCTTCGAATTCCGACGCTGGGGAGCGAAGGGATACACAGAGGGAGAGAGGATTGCAAAAGATTGGTGAGTGTGCGTGGTCGACGATGGCATGCTCTGCTCTTCAATATGTTTACCCTTCCAAAGTGGCCCCAAACTCTCAGCTTCAGATGCTAGAATAGGAATAGAATGGGAATAGAATGGTGTGTCATGTGACACAATCTCATCCACCCACCCACCTTTGTCAGTCACTCCTTCTCCTCTTTCCAGCACCCACCCAGTCACTCCCAGCACAGCACAGCACCGCACAACACCCACCCAGCTTCTCCCAGTGCGGGGCAAAGGCACGGGACTGCGGCGAATAGATGGAGAAGATCTGAATGAGCCACGCGTCTCCGCCGCCCAGCACCTGCTGCCCGAAGTTGACAGCTGTCAGCGTCTTAGTGGCCGACGGCATGAGGTCTGCGGGATGGCGGAGAGAAGGGGTGTGGGGGGGGAGGGGAGGGGGGAAGGGGGGGGGGGAAAGGGGGGGGAAAGGGGGGGGGGGAAGGGGGGGCGGGGGGGGAGGAGGAAGCAGACGGGAGGGGAAAGGGGGGGATAGATGGGGAAGAGTGAACCAAAACACATGGTGCAAGGAGGCATGGCTTGTTGAAGAGTGCCAGGGGGCTACTAGGGCAGAGGACAGAGGGCAGAGGGCTACTGGGGCACATTGAGAAAGGGCGAGTGGGGAGGGGGCGAGTGGGGAGAGGGCGAGTGTGGGGAGTGGCAGTGGATAGAGGGCGAGTGTGGGGAGTGGCAGTGGATAGAGGGCGAGTGTGGGGAGTGGCAGTGGATAGAGGGCGAGTGTGGGGAGTGGCAGTGGATAGAGGGCGAGTGTGGGAAGTGGCAGTGGATAGAGGGCGAGTGCGGGGAGTGGCAGTGGATAGAGGGCGAGTGCGGGGAGTGGCAGTGGATAGAGGGCGAGTGCGGGGAGTGGCAGAGGGGAGAGGACGAGTAAGAGACACACCGTCACTCTGCTGCTGTCCCCAGTGCGAGAAGAATGAGTCGGAGTAGGCATGATGATGCTGGTAGCGCTGCTGCCTCTGGTACTGACCCCCACCGCTGTGATCGTCCTAGTGGGATGAGAGGGGTGGGAGCGAGGGGAGGGATGGGAGGGGAGAGACGGGAAGAAAAGGAGAGTAAGGGAATAACGGGAGGTTTCACAACTCACCAAATCACGCAATCCCGTTACTCAGTACCGATTTCTCACCCCTATTCAACTAGCAATTGCAACAGGAGAAACTGACCCCTCACCCCGCCCACTCACCAGACCAGCACACGATCACAATCATCAACCTGTTAGATTAGAGATCTACGGGGTCTCAACAGCTTGATGATCATCACAGTCTACAACCAAGCTCACCGCATCAGCACCGTAGCGGTCGAACCTCTTCCTCGCTTCCTCCTCTCCCACCATCTCGTATGCCGCCTGCACTGACAGGAACCGTTCATGCGCTGCCTTTGCACCCTGGTTCTTGTCCAGGTGCCTGGGTACGGAATGGAGGGGTTGGGGGAGAATACGTGCGGTTGGATGGGGTTGAGTGTGGGTGGGAGGGTTGCAGGGATAAGGTGAGTGACCTTCCTGTGCTAACAGCAGGGCAACAAGAGGGGAGTGGATGGAGAACAACCTTTTGAGAATTCTCAGATCTGAAATCCAAAACCCCACAGACCATCTTCCCCACTGCCCATTCTTTCACTCCTCTCCTTCTCTCTCCCCCTATTTCTCTCGCCACAGCCGTTTGAAACTGCCCGAGCACACACAACCCTCCGACTCCCACCATCACCCCCTGCTGCTCCCACCACCCTTCCCGCACTCTTGCTCTCACCATAGCTCCCACTCTCAGCGCTCCCACCGCCCCCACTGCCATCACTCCCACCGCCCCCTGCTCCCACTGCCCTCCCGCTTTCACCACCCCCTGCTCCAACCGCTCCCACCGCTCCTCACCGCTCCCCACCGCCCTCCTGCACTCACCATCGCCGGGCGAGCTTCTTGTACGCCGCACGGATGTCCTGCTGTGACGCATCTCTACACAGGCCCCTCGCTCCCATCACTCCCAACGCTTCCCACTCCTGCCACCCACCGATCCCCACCGCTCCCCACCGCTCCCCACCGCTCCCCACCGCTCGCCACCACCCTGCACTGCACTCACCATCGCCTGGCGAGCTTCTTGTACGCCGCACGGATGTCCTGCTGTGACGCATCTCTAGCCACGCCCAGCACTGGGGGGGAATACGCGGAACAGGGTGAAGCGGGGGGGAGGAAGGCCGCACATGGTGGGGGAGCGGGGGAAGGGGGTGAGTTGGACGGGGAGAAGAAGGGGGCGTTGCCGATAGAGGAAGGGGGGCAGAGAGGAGGGGGGGGAGGGGGGTGGTTATAAGAACGGGAGGGAAGGGAAGGGAAACTAAGGAGAATCAGGCAAAGGAGATCAGAGAAGATTGGAAGTGGTAAGAGGGGCAGCGGTAGGAGAGAGGGGGAACGAACGGGAGGAACGACGAACGGGAGGAGCGACGAACGGAGGATGTGGGAAGGTGGATTTCCTCCCAAGGAGGTGGTGAGGGAGAAAAGCAGGAAAGAAACGGAGGGGGGCGAAGAGAGGGGAGAGAGGAAGGAGGGAGGAAAGACGGAGAAGAAGAGAAAGAGATTCATACGACAAGGACGACCCGTAGGCAGGCTGACACGTAGGCAGGCTGACACGTAGGAAGGCCGAGACCCGTAGGCAGGCAGAGCAACGAGACGAACCTTTGTAAGGATCGCGCACTTTGGAGCAAGCGAGGGCAGGCGAGGGGAGGAACGGCAGATCGAGAAGCACTAGCAGAAGCGGCAGCAGCAGCGACGCCGCCAGCAGCGGGACTACGGCGAGCAGCCCGAACGGACGGCTGAGATGACGCGCCATCGAAACGCCTTCGGACAATAGGATCGCGCGTTGTCAAGAAGCGCGAATTACGGTACGCCCCAGGCCTTGTCGGTTGACTCAACGGTCACCGTGGGTAAGCGCTACTCACGGGAATCAGCGGCAAATTTTCAACGCAATCACTACGGATCTACTGGAAGCTGCACCAACAGCATCATCATCACCACGAACACCACCGGCACCACCAGCATCGCCAGCAAACGATCAGAGCAAATTATCAATGCAGGTCTATGCGGCGCTGCGGTAATTCTCGAATACAGTCGTCGTAGCCCGTGCCGCCAACATCGGCGGCGAGTGGCGGCTGGAGAAACCTCAGTATTACGGACTACCTTCACTGCTTTTATCGAGGAGTCTCGATAGCAGCACTACGACAGCAGCGCGTCAAAGCACCTGAAGCGGATCAAAGCAGAGATGCCCACGCACTAGCACCCTGTCCTCACCGCAGCAGCAGCTGGAGATTCTTATCAGATGACGTGCTACTAGAACCAAGGCTTCTTCAACTGAGGCTTCCTCCAGTGAGACCCATCAATGAATCTGTACGCGTTTGTAACGTCTAGAACGGACGACATTAAAAAGTTTTGCAAAACATCCAGCGCGCCATATAGATTACCCAAATGAAATATATAGCTCTTCTGTAAGATCCGTAACGATGAAAATGAAACAGTTTGGACCAATCTATTTCCGCATTATTTTTAGAATTTAATTGGTGTTTGCACGTAGTATATCTGATGTTTTAAATAGTGCAAACAAATCACCTCTAAATGCGACAAGTAAAACAGCTTCGCGAAGTGAAAGTACATTTAGCGTTAACGCATACAATGGTTGCTTGCCATGATCCATCCATCCCTCCCAAAATCCCCATTACCAACACAAATTCCCTTCACAGCCCATTCATTCCATGGCTCTGACTGCCTGCTCATCCCGCGTCTTACTCCGCTCTTCCTCCTTCGCCTTCCCAGTCTCTGCTGTGTCTAAGTCACGCTCGTCCCTGCTCCTGTCAGGCTCCCATCGAATTCTCTCGTCGCCTGTTCCTGAATCCCCTACAAGCTTGCTTGTTTCTCGGAGTTTGAGTTCCACTAGTGTGCACCGCGTCAAGCGTTCTTACCTTCCGCCTCGGTGAGTAATGCCGTTTGTTATTTATGTGCTTTTTATTTTGCTGTCTTTTCCCACCATTTACCATATAGCATTGCGCTGTTCGCCTTAACCCGTCAGTATGCCGCTACCGATTTCGAATCACTAGCGTCCAATCCCAACCGTTCATTTTATCCTCCAAAATCAACCGTGCATTATCGTGCAGAAGAGCGCCCGCCCCATCCTCTGCGACAAACACTCGTGGACTTACCACCCGCAGCATTGTCGCAATGGCGGAAAGCAACGAGGAAGCTGCCGCTAAGGCAGCCTCGGCGGCTGCTGATTCAGGCAACCCCACCATGTGAGAGAGAGTGAGGGGGATGGTTGGGGGTGGTGGTGGTCGGGGAAAGGGGAGGAAGGAAACTCAGTATAATAATCTGTAGGATGAGGGGAACAAGCAAGACAGAGGGAAGGTTGACGGTGAAATTGGGAGGGAAAGGTGCGGAAGGAGTTGCAATGTGAGAGGGTGGGTCGTGTGAGCCGTGGATGGCAGGGCGTTGTTCCTTCATTAAGGCACTCAACTTAATTGCCTACGTATTTAGCTTTATCCTGGTGATTGTTATCACCTCATTTGCCTGTTTTATCCTCACAGCCTGATTTGAGGTTTGCACCCCTCTGCCTGCAGATTCGATAAGATTGTGCGCAAGGAAGTTCCTGCTAATATCGTGTATGAGGACGATGAGGTGAGAAGGACGATCCAGTCATCACAGGTGCTTTCGGTCTATATCAAGCAAAGTCTCCCTACACGCAGCCACTGACACACAAAAAACCACCGTCTTAGTCCATTCAAGCACACAAATGCACCGGCTCCTTTCTGTAACTGCCTGCTCTGGCATACCCACTGCTGTGTCCAGTCCATCCCGCAAATAAGCACCGCCGTAGAGGACGTCCAGTCGTCCTCTGCAATCTGCTTCACCTCTCTTCTCTCATCATGCATGCACCACCTTCCCTGCTTCGGAACTCTAACTTGAGCCTCCTCTGAGTTTATTTTCCCTCCCCACCCTCCTCGCCTCCCTCCCCTAGCCACCAGTATGCCAAGTGGTATTTCCCTGTAGTCTGAGAAGTAATGGCTTTAATTCCACATGTGCTGCTTGCTGGCAGGTGATGGCCTTTCGAGACATCAGCCCCCAGGCGCCAGTGCACATCATTCTCATACCCAAGAACAGGGACGGCCTCACACAACTGTGCAAGGTAAGTGCCGCTCCACAGAACCCCACCACTCTTTCACCATTATTGTCTCTCACCGTACTGTAGTAATGTTTCTTCTGGTTAGTCTAATCCAGTAGCACATGAGGCCCCCTTCAAATTTTCCAAGAACAGGGACGGCCTCACACAGCTCTGCAAAGCATGCAGTGTCCACAGAACCCCCTTTTCTTTCACCATCCCCGCTCCATCTGTCCCCCTCGGTGTTCCGCAGGCAGAGGAGAGGCATGCAGCAATCCTGGGAAAGCTGCTGCTGGCAGCGCGGAAGGTAGCAATCAACGAGGGCCTTGTGCCAAACGGGTATCGCATTGTCATCAATGACGGGCCCGATGGATGTGAGTCCGGGAAGCTTGGAGGAACGAGGATAGGAGGGTGACGGGTGGAGGGATCTCGAGCTGTGTGTGATATGAGATGGAGGAAAGGGAGTGGAATATGAACGTCTTTGTGCCTTGGTTTTCCAATCCACATCTGATATTTTTTTCCTTTATCCTGGGTGGGTTTGTGTGGTTTTATCCTGAGCAGGCCAGTCTGTGTACCATCTTCACATCCATATCCTTGGTGGCCGCCAGATGAAGTGGCCTCCCGGCTAATTTGGATTGGGAGTTATATAGAGGCTACGAAATTGTGAACGTGCGGTGGGTCTGCAGCATATATGCTTGCAGAAGTGGGAATATACGTCCAAATCATTGCTGGCATTCGTTTATTCAGGCATGTATGTGTTCATTTTCCAGTTTTCCTTGTAACACTCTCCAAACCATTACAGCAAATCTGCAGAAGTCTCTTTGGCGCCTCGATGTTTGCGAGTGGAACACAGGAGTCAGCGCTGCGGGAGTGTGAAATCGTCATCGTCGTCGGTCACTCCACGCGAAACCAGGAATCATCAACCCTGGTGTTGTTCTGCCTTGATCCCCATATCCTAGAGACTAACGCATTCTGGTAAACCCAGGTTTTGTTTTCTCCTCCTAGCGCAGCTCCACGTCAACACTGGGTTTGTTTTCAGTCGAGCCGTGAGAGTGTTCCAGCTATGCTCCCCGAGGTTAGCCTCCTGCTGCTTTTGAGTTACGAATTTCAAATGACGACTCGCCACCACCCTCGGCGGGCATCCGTCGCACCTTTCGCATCCCTCGTTCCCCGTGACGCGCAGGAGCCAGGGAAGCCCAGCACAGGACCCCCTTTCGAGAACCACCGAGTCTTGGTACATAGCATCGAGCCCGCCTCATTTTATCGTGTTGGCCTCTCTTGCTTCGCGAAGCAAGAAGTACCACTAGCAAAGGGACGCGTTGAGCGAGAAGGGGAGATTAGCTACTGGTATCACTACTCAGATTGCTGCTCTAAGCCATGGAAACGACTCCGTTGCGACGCAGTGGCAGAGCGAGCCTTTTCCGAAAGTCACTGAAAGAGTGCGTTGATCCGCGTCGCCTTCTTTTCAAGCTTCATCTCACTCTTCGTTAATCCCTTTTTCCGTCAAGGAACGCGTGCGTTGAAGCTTACACACGCACATTACTCTACCTGGGCTAACTCTTTCATCGGCTTGCAGGGTGGAAAACGACGACGATCAAGAATGGCAGCCGCCCAGCGATGCGGAACCCGACGCTCCTCCAGCTGGCGACATGAGCGACGGTGACGAAATAATCGCGAAGGCTTCGCGACTTAAGAAGACCCCCAATATGGCTCCGACAACGACCGCGGCTTCGGAGAAGAAGACCCCCGCGAGCCGCGGGCAGAAGAAGAGCAAGAAAAGAATTTCTCGAGCTTCGTCAAGTGCTTCGCGAAAGACTGCTTCTGCAGCGGCCGCGGCCGCTGGAACGTCTGACACGAATGCGGTAAGCATGCTTGCGTGAAACGGCTCGTTTCTGTTATCTTCTGACTGACCTACGTTCTTCCAGCTCGTGTTCTGCTCAGGGACATGACATATCCTTACTTCAATCTTAACCATTCCTGTCCGCGTTTGTGGATTTCAGGATAACGAAGCGGGGGAGGATCCGATGATCAACGAGGAAGGGGGAATCAGCAACGTGACGCGCTATGCTTCGTCCTTGCACTGTAAGGATCACAATCCTTTCCTTCGTTTATTTCACTGCTTCGGTTCTTGATGCTACAGTTATGTCAATATAATCAACCGAATCTATCCTTTCGTCCCGTAATATTTCTTGTTTATTGCAGTGACAGCACAGAACAAACGAGCCAAGGATGTGGAGAAAGCGGCTAAGAGGTGGACGAGGCAGTATGAGAAAGAACCTATGACTGCCCTGTCGGCCCTGCTGATCTTCCACTTCCAGGTGGGTTTGATTGAAACCCCAAGACATCTGCTGCTTCTTTCCGTTCATTCGATTCTTAGACAGGCCGGGTGTTAGCAACATTCGTTCGGCATGTGCATCACCGTGTGTTGTGGTTTGCTGTTGCAGGCTTGCGGATGGAGAGGATCTGAGGACATCTCAAGCCACGTTGGCGATGGTGACGTGGACACTGTCGTGCGTTTCCTTGTGGATCAGGCCAAGGAGGTACACCACTGTACCTTTTCATTTTCCTTCACTTATTCTGCTCCTGTAGATCGGATTTCCTACCACTACGCCAACAACATGGTTGCCATATGCCTTACTTCGGAGAGGCTTATAATGGATGTTTTCTGGCGATGTGCAGGGCGAGGTGGAGGACACGCTCGGATCTGCCTGGCCGCATGCCAAGAGCGTCCGTTCCTACAAGGCGAATCTGGAAACCTTCTGGCACAGCCTTATGATAGAATCTCAAGATGGGCCGCTGTTCGATGGAATACTCATGGAGAAGTGTATCAACTATATCACCCTGTTGGCATGGTAAGACAGAGCCTTTGTTGCCAGATCTTGTTGCCCTTCTGTGATCCACTAGACGTGATTTTTAGAAGCGTCAAGCTTGGAGCTTTCAGATTTTGCTTTTATTTCTTTCCACGACCAAGCTCACGTGATTATCCCTTGTTGTTTCTTGCAGCAAGGCTCCTCGAATGTTCCGGATCATTTCCACCCTTGTGGGCCTTCGCATGGTTACAACGCTGGTAGAGATCGCCAGCACTATGGGTGAAGCACGCGCAACCACACAGAGGCAGATCAACGCAGAAGCTATGCGGAGCGGCAGCAAGGAAGAGAGTCCCCGCATGGCCCTGCTCAGGAGCACGTTGGAGAATCTGCATACCAAGATTGTCGGGGTTGAGGAGATGATGACCCAACTCTTTTCAGGGTAAAAGCACCAGCACACGCACAACCTCCCACTAATTTCGTACTCCACAACCCTGCACTGTACAAAGTAATTATCCTTTCTGGATTCTGTATGGTTCTAACTCACGTGTACACCTCGTTTTCGTTTCAGGTTCTTTACTCATCGTTTCCGGGATGTGATGCCAGAGATCCGCGGTGCCTGCGTGGCATCCCTGGGCTCCTGGATATCCGGCTACCCCAGCGTCTTCTTAGAGGATCGCTACCTCAAGTACCTGGGCTGGGCTCTCAGTGACCAGGTGGGTTTGTCAGTGACCAGGCAGTCAGTTAAAGGTGCCTAACAGGAGGCAAGCTACCCCAGCGTCTTCTTAGAGGATCGCTGCCTCAAGTACCTGGGCTGGGCTCTCAGTGACCAACTCGGTTCCGCTTCAGTGTTCTACTTAGCTCTCCTTCTTCAACGCACACCTCACTCGCCCTGCTACTACCAGGCGTCTGCAATGAAAGAAGTGTATTACCACTTGACCCTCATCCAGCTCTTCTTGCATGTTTTTTATTTCGATTACTTTCTTCTCTTTTCTTTGTTATTTCTTTTCTGCTGCTGGGCAATGACAGGAGTCGATTGTGAGGCAGAGCAGTCTGCAGGTGCTCAAGGCGCTGTACGAGGACGAGGACTGCATTGGCGCGCTCAGCCTCTTCTCAGAGCGCTTCTCCCCACGCATCATCCACATGGCTGATGACGTGGACGCCAGCGTGGCAGTGACGTCCGTTCAGGTTGCGGGATTGTTGCTGAGGTCAGTGGTCGGATCATGACATGTGCTTAATAGCCACTTGAATACCCTGCCCGCAACTGGTCTATCACATCACGTGCCAGTAACTCAACTTCCATCAGTATACAGTCACCTGCTCTCAAGTTTCACATCACGTTGTTCTGTCTGTCTGTTTGCGCTCTTTCTTTACTCTCCTTTTCCCGATGTGCACACAGGCATCAGCTGATATCCTTGGATGAGGTGCGGCCAGTGCTGGAGCTAATCACAGACGACCTGAGAGCTGTGCGCCTGGTGGTGGCAGACCTCATAGCGGACCATTATCTCCCTGCTAAAGTGGCCGAAGCTGCTCAAACCTCTAAGGGTCAGTCAGTCAGTCAGTCAGTCAGTCAGTGTGCCTGTAACGGTCAGTGGCTTGTCATGAGCTCTCTGATGCAGACCTGAGGGCTGTGCGTCTGGTGGTAGCAGACCTCATAACGGGACTATTACCTCCCTGATATAGAGGCCAAAGCTTTGTCATATAACACCTACCCCTGTTGCCCTGCGTCCCGTGTGTAACACAGATGATGCAGGGGCGAAGGGAAAGCACGACGGGCAGCTGCAGCCGCTGCTGGATCTAGTCGGGGAGTTCACCAGCAGTGATGCGCACATGGAGATGCTCGTGGACGCCCTGTGGGACAAGTGCCGGGTGCTGCAGGTGAGCCTTCTTTCTTCCACCAGCCAGCCATCCAGCCAGTTGGAAATACGTGGCACCAGTTTGTTGTAAATCGATTCAAACAGCAGCTGACTAATGGTGTTGTTATTGCAGGACTGGAAGCTGATGGCGAAGTCTCTCCTTGCCGACCAGGCAGGGGCGCACGGGAAGGGCAAGAGGAGGGAGGTGAACGGGGAGTCTCTCTCCCTCTGCCGCCTGCTCCTTGCGTGCGCTGAGCGCGGCACTGCTGCTGGGATTCACTCTAACCGTGGGGATGCTGCTGCTGGTCCTGGGAGGTTTCCTGGGAAGGTGAAAGCTGCGTTTGGGTCCCCCAGTTCAGCCCACAAGACTCCTTCGAAGAAGCAGCAGGTATCATATCTTTCTTCGCCATGTGCCTGTCGGTTCCTCCTCTCCTCCTCTCTCTCCCAGAATCTTCTCTAAAGTCTCTCGCCAAGTCGCCTTGCTGCTCATTCGGACCATCTCCCTGATCCCTGCTCTCTGCCCCTGTGTTGTGTGTGTGTGTAAGCGCAGGAGGGAGCAGCAGTGGTGCAGGGCGAGATGACAGGTGCACTCATGAAGCACCTTCCCGGCATCATCACTCGCTTCCTGCCCGACGCCGACCATCTGCACATCGTGCTCTCCATCGCCCCTCTGCTGCAGTTCGACCTCTTCGCCACACGCCACCAGGAAGCCGTGAGTCACGTTCTTTTTTATGTGCCGTGCCGGTTCATTC